TATTTGAAAGCAGAGGTTACGCTTTCTCCTCATGCAGTTGAAGTCATTGATCTGTAACAGACACTACAAACCCCCTGAATATGAAGATCCAGATATTAAATACAAAATTCTCACTTAAAATAATTAATACTCTGAGCAACATAAATGACCAGAGAACTAAAGCAATGGTTATTTTGGAGCACAACAGCTGATGCATGGTTTAGTTTACTAGGAGGAATTTTGTTCTTTTGCAGTGACTGGCTATAATTTGACAAAGCTATTATTTGATTATTCTTTGAATGAGTAAATTGATAACTACAGGAGTTTGTTTTAAAATAAATGTGTCAATGTACCTCATGCAGTGATAGTTGTGGTTTTCAGTAAGCAAAAGGAGAGCAGTCCATCACTGACTGTATGCAAGATTGTTCTGTAACTAAGCCAGGAAAATGCTTGTTTTTCACACACGGTTTCAGAGTATCTTGGCTTCTATTTCTGCCTTTTTTGTATAAATACAAATCAGAAAACTACAAGGGCATAAAATCTGAAATAGTTCAATATTTTGTTCAATATGTTTTAAGTATATCATTTCAATAATGTTGTTTTCTTGTGCTGTAGTTAAAACACAGTTTTCCTAGTCTTTATTGTGGGAATGCTTCTACTGTTTCTTAGATGTTTTCAGTGTCACTGGAATATCCGTTTATTGCTTAAACTCTCCATTTAGAGTCTTTGAAATAGATGACCAGTATGGTTGCCAAGACTACTGAAATCTGCTGGTTTTACAGGAAAGGTATTACTGTAAGCTCACAGGAAGATTGCAGAATTGCATAAGAAACAATAAAATTGAAATTAATACAGTTTCTTGCATCATGTATATTTAAATCTCAATGTAACCTTAATTTTCCAGTATGCAAGAGAGTGGGAGCTAGGGTATTTTAGACTCTGCAGTCTGCTTCTGACAGGCCCAAATACCAAAGTCACGTATTTGCAAAATTGCTAATAAAGTGACATAGAAAATACTTTCTTTTAAATATACACTAATGGCTTATTTTGCTTAATAATAGTTTTATTGCTTGGAGGTGCAAAGCAAAGATAAGAGAAATAGCCATGTCTGTTAAATGAGCTTACTTTTGTCACATCGGCTTGAATCCTGTGTTGCAATCTAACATTCAGTGATTGTCAAAGTGGTGTAGTCTGCTGAGAACTGACAGAGTATCTCACACCCTTCCCTTCCACTTTTCCTGTGGAAGACCATGAGTAAACTCTTAAATGAAGAAATTTATTTAATTAGGATTAATTCAATAACTGTTAAAGATTTCCTTGTTGAAGGTGAAAGGTGTTTTAAGTAGCAGTGATGTTACCAGACCTGCTCTTTGAGGGTGGATCACCTGAGTTTAGGTTGTTGTTTATTTGTTCATGTGTGTACATGTACATTTGTTCATTATTGTACATTGTGTAGGTTATGTAAAGAATTAAACTGATACCTGCAGTTATTCCAGCTTTGGAATAGTGCGTATTTGCTGTAATATGACAATGCTTTTCCCATTCTTTTGTACCATCCTATTAAATATAACATAGGAACAAAATTATGTTATCTGTGCAAAGATCAGTACAAAATTAAGAACTTGCCCTAGGAAACAATTATTTGTGAAGTGCCCTGTCAGTGTATTACACCAGCAGGAATTTGTCAGATTCCTTATATAGGTTCCAACCCCCAGCTGTGAAGCCTGTAATAGAAAACCTGGTATTTAGTGTATTTATTTCTTTGAGATTCTTGCTCAGGCATCTTGTATCTCGCCTGGTAGTGAAGAAGTAGAAATCCCCTGCTGTAGTAAAAAGAGCCTTGTAGTTTGGACTCTTCCTGCTTAGGAAGTTCCTGACTGGTGGAAATAATACAAGTTTACGGGAGATAAATTCTGGTATGTCCTTAGAAAATCTGACCTGCAACCTATTCCCTGAAAGAGCGAGTGAGAAAATATGGCAGCTATGCTTTCTTTAACTATTCTTAATCAAAATCTTATGTTGCACATTATGGACTTGTATCAGAGAAAAACATTGGTTAACCAAACAGTAAATGAACTAGAAGGGGAGAGGTGTAGGAGGGAGGCGTTTTTAGCCTGTTTTGGCCCTCTGAGGTCTACTTTAAGGCATAGCCAGCTTTGTTCCAATATTTCAAAGGTTAGCACACAGAAGGTAGCTTTGAGGATGCACTACCTAAGATAAATGTAGAGACATGGCTTGGAAGTGCAGGGTGAAGACAGGAAAGCCAAAGCTCAGAAGTGGTGTGATTAGCTGTGAAAGGTATAGAGCACTGTGGTCCTGAAACCGCAACCTGTTGCATTCTCTTTCTCCTGTCTTACTGCCCTGACTCTTGAGTTTGTTGTGCAGGGTTTCCCCCCACTCCCAGTTGTTGAAGCACTAGGGGGAGCTGGAAAAGATGGCCTTGCAGACAAAGAAGTGAAATGGAACATGTTACCTCTGAACCTGTTTGTGGTTTAGTCTGTTTGCCAAAAAACCTGTTTCCACCCTGATTGTGTGGGAGGGGAAACCCATTACAGATTTTCATTTCTCTGTTGAGTTGCTATGGTACAGCCACTGTTCCTTTTGCAATGTAATTTGGCATTCACTGTCTTTGGTGCCTAGATAAAACCATTACTGTGATGCTATTATTTTTTTTCCTTCTCTGAAAGCTTACTTTCTGGTGATTTCTTAAATATTCATTACGTGCTTGTTTTGTTGCATAGGAGTTGATACATTAGTTCATCTTGACTGATGCCCTTGACGTTAGAAGATAAATAGCAAAGTAGAGATAGGTGACAAGGATTGATTAGTAGTGCAGCTTCTAAACCAGAACATAAACACTTACAGATAAGCCAAGCCTGTAAAATGCACCTTAGTGGAATTAACAACACGTTTTGAGGTGCAGGAGTTTTCTGTGCCTGCCAAGATACAAATCTTCATTTGAGGCTTCTTCTTGAAGGTTTATGTTCACCAGTGGTTTATTTCTCAGAAAATGAGTTTCCAAGTTTTGAAGGAAGAATCACATTCCATTAAAACAAAGTAGTAACTCTTTACAAGGCTGCAAATTATAATTTGGGCAGTGAAAGGTACTTTTGTTAAACTGAGCTTGAACAAATGTAATTGTACACTTGCAGAAGTTTTACTTAATACTTTGCTGCAAACTTGGTGGGCTGTTTCAGATAATGATCCTTCAGTCTAGTGAGTGGTGAGGAAAGGGTAAAATAGGGACTGATGTGCCCTGTTCCTTGTGAGAGACATCTGAAACTAGATGATCAAAACCCAAGCTGAATTAAATACTGTTTTACTGGCAGCTGAATGGTGGAATTTTCTGCCAGAGGATATTCAGTCTCCTAAAAACACATGGATACAACAAACAATTAGACAAATTTGGTGTACACAAAAGAACTGCAGGCACCTCAGTCTTGGGGAGTCATAAATTGCTGGGAGACAATGCCAAAGAAATACTGTAAACTGACTGTATTCTGTACTAGGCATCTGCTCATGTTAGTTCTTGAGAGGTGGCATAGTTGGTTTGTTGGACCACTGGTAGGACCAAGAGTGGTTGTCACACTGTAAAACCTGAAAATAAGGTTATTTCTGCTTTGTGTGATCAAACCTGGAACAGTCTGTCCCCTGCCATGCCACCCAACATTGCAGGTCACTGGCAGTTGTCCCTGCTGCTCTCTTAAAAACTGTGCAAGCTGGCACTGTCATCAGAAATTGTTGCACACCCTGTCCCCAACTGCTAGGTCCTGCTCTCCACCACCTGCAGCATTAAGAGCAAAGGGAAGAACAGTACAAGAACAAGCAGCAGAACCACCTCTTCCAGTTGTAGTCTCAGCGCAAAGGTCTTGTTTGTAGAGTTTGGCAAAGATGTCAGAACATCTTTCCAAAAATCACATGCATTCTTTTGTAGTCAGTGACTTTTTGGGACAGCAACACACTACGTGACACGCTGCATGACTACAGTTACCTGGGCTGCTGAGGATGTTGGGGGTTGTACTATGAGTGGTGCCCCATAAGCCTCAGCTTGTTGCTTTTTGGCTGAAGCGCTGTATGCAGACCACTTCTTCATTCATCCCTAGACTATTGTATGGGTATTTTGACTCAATTAAGGAAAATGCATAAATGCATTTAAAAATCGGTGAAGGTTAAATTTTACTGTCAAATGGAAATGATTTCCTGATGAGCAGTCTCTGATACCCTAGCCTTACAAAGAAGGATTTGACTGAGCTTTATACTTCTGCTGTCCAAGCCTTTCGGATGATTTCTTATGTTCTTGCCTTATCTCTGTAACTGGGGGATGAAAAAGAAACTCAAAACCCCCCAGATCCTCCTCGGATTATATGGATATTGTGAGTACGGCATGTATATACTCGCTGTTAGCACATGCTTACTAAGAAATGCAGGATGTTATACCTAAGTGTTTCATTGTCCAGTCTGTGAGTCTTTAACAGCTCTGTGCTGGAAAAGGATACTGTTACTCAGGCTTTACAGAAAAGAAGGTCACAGAAAACTGGGTTGTCCAAGTTTCTGAAACAATTTAGGAAGGGAACTCAGGTTGTACTTCTTGGCCTAAGCAGCCTGTCTAGTGTGCTTCTGCATCTTTGAAGCTGTTCTGCTCTTGCAGATCTCTGTTTCCTTATCTCTTTACAAAACGGAAGGAGAGAATGGAAGCATGGGAAAATGTGTACCTGCAAACCTAAGGAAGGAAGGAGGATTTGGTAGCTTTCATGTAGATGCACCATGGCTGATCGTCTCCCTCAACAAATCACAGGGTTATCACAATCTATACAGTAGAAATAACCCAGAATTCAGGCATGCAAAAAAGAACAAAAGTTACTGTCCCAAATGATACAAACAGTCCTTTCTCCTGTGACGTCATCCCACTTGCATTTTCCTGGTACATTGTGTGCCAGTGCTCTCTGGGTGTGCTGGAGGTGGGTGGTGGGTTTTGTACATATTACTTTTAAAATTAATTATCTACAAAATTTCTCTTTCAGTTGTGTATGAGCACAGGTCAAGATTAGAAAAGTCATTACAAAAGGAAAGGCTTGAACATAAGAAAGCAAAAGAAGGTAAGGATGTGCTTTTCACTTTAACGTTTAAGATCACTTGATTATTTTAGAAAGTAACTTCAGATGGATTTTGTTTGATTTTAAATAAGTTTTCAACGTGCTACACATTAGCAGGACCACCTTGGCAGAGCTGTGGTGATCTTTTTAGTAAATCTCTATTTGCTTATTTAATCCAATCTTTTTAAAAAGTAATAATCTTTTTAGTACTTTTTGCAGATCCCTGCAACATAGCATAGTATACACAGAGAATATGTGTATATCAGTGTACATAAACTTTACATGTATGTGGAGTGTGGGCGTGTGTAAATCCTGTTCTGGCATGCTGCAAATTTAAAACTTGTACCAAAACCATGGGATTTTTTCCCTCTGTTCATCAGTGTGAAATTAGACTCTCAATCAGTGTTTTTACACATGCTTACATACTTTATTCTAACTAAAACTACATTCAAGGTATTTGTGCAGGGGAAGTGTTTGTACATGTCTAATTTCTTACACATCTACCCTCTAGGAAACTTCAGCAGAATGCAGTCCCCTGAATTTTCTCTGAGTCTTCTGTTGCTCTAAATTCACCACAATTTCCAGAGTAACGCCTGTATTCTTCCTAAAACTGAGGACTAAGACGCTGAATTAAAACAACTACTAAGCAAAGATTAAAAACGAGTGAGAAATTACTCTTACAATGCCGTTCTCGATGGCTTTCTGGTGCCATCTAGTGTAGAGCTGTCCTATTGCTGTGTGAAGCTGAGCCCGTGTTTTCAAATCCTGAAAAGAGGATAAAGGCACAAAAGGGGAATTTTTTGTTTCATTTAAACTTAACCTAGACTTTCACATTTTTTTAAGTATATAGGTGTTTATCCTAAGACAAGAATACACAATTTATAAATGTCCTTTTCCTTTTGAATGATACTGGGCTTTCACTAGGAGAGTTCATGCAGCAGATCTATTTACCCATCCATAGTCTTGAGCCTGTGATGTCTTACACTAAGATATGAAACTGTTTAATGAAAATATTTTATGGAACTATGAAATTCTTAAATGAAAATATTCTTTTCAAAATTTGTGCATTTTGTTAAATGCTCTGCAGGGTTGGGTTTTTTTTTAAGCTCTTTTAGAAAATTAACTGCATAAGTATCCAGATCTTAAGAGAGTTTATGTATGCAACAGTTATGTTATTTAAGTACAGTTTGTAATTTCCTGGGGTTTTTTTTCATCAGTATTTTCCCTTTTATGTTATAGATTTTCTTGTTTATAAACTAGAAGCACAGGAAACGCTAAATAAAGGAAGGGTAAGCCATCATTCCCAGTACAAGTTTTTAATAGTTGATGCTATTTGAGTTGCAAGAAAAAGAGAATGCTTTGCAATTTTAACTCATCAAAGGAAAAGGTCTTACAAAATACTAATTGAAGGAGCTCTGGCTTCTAATCTGCTTGTCTAAGTGCTCTGCAGTTCCTGATTATTTGAGCTGTAGTAGGAAATACTAATATTTTTTTCAGAAAATTAATTTAGAAAATATCTTCCTGTTTATATATGGTAGTTCAAACATAATTTTACTATTTTTAAGAGGAAGAAAGAATAAGAAGGCACTGGAAATCTTTTTGTAGCTTAGTCCACAGAGAAAAGGACAGTGACAACTTTCTAATGCATGGTCTTTTAACTGCAAAGTATAAAAATGTCAAGAAACTTTGTTTTATATACCAAATACTGGAATGAAAGCTGTGTCTGGCAAAAGACCCAGAAACCTGTAGAGAACTCCTTATAAAAGCGAGTAAATTAGGATTTTATGACTACTATCTGTAGAAACTGAGGAGCAGTTTGTGAGCTGAGTAACCCAAGTTAAAAAACATTGCTGCTGCAGTAAGTGCAAAGTGTATGTTCTTGCAATGTTCCAAAGCAAGTGGAGAGATTTGTTTCCTGGGGAGTTAGGTCCTTTGGCTTGTGACTCCTAAATAACTGCATGTGGAGAGGTTAGAGGAATGATGGTATTACTCTGTTTAACACTATTGTTTTTGTTTTACAGCAAGACTCAAATAGCCGGTACAGTGCACTGAGTGTACAACACCAGATGTTGAAGGTAGGTAGCTGACATAGCCGGTTTCATAGGACACAGCTCTTCTGCTACATTAGGGAGATACGGCCTCACTGGCTGCTGGTAGTTCGTTCTAGAGTGTCAGTCCATTGATGGTGCTTTCCTCTTACAACAGTACTGTTAAAAGATGATTTACTACAGTTTTTCTTAGTCAGGCTTTTCAGTGGGTAATTTAATCTTATCGAGTGTGTTACTTGTATGGAATGCTGACTTCTCAGACTTTACATAGTTTGGCATGTAAGGCATTTCTTACACACATTCAGCAGCTCCCAGTGAGACAGTGCAACAGCAACGTGAGGTGATGCAGCCCTAGAACTGACTACTCATTGCAGAGATCATTTTGTGTTTGAAAGGAGCTGCGATATACATGCTTTGAATAATAAACTTCTTGTTATGAATGCTTCCTATTCATCTGGACTTACAAATTGCCAAAGACAATATTAGCTAGATATGCAGATACAGTACTGTTCTAGTGTCCCAACTTGGTATTTGCAGAGTCAACATGAAGAACTAAAGAAACAGCATGCTGACCTTGAGGAAGATCACCGAAAGCAAGGAGAAGAGTTTAGCAGAACATTCAGTGATCACAAGGAGCGATACTTACAACTGCAGCAGGAAAAAGAGCAGGAGATCTCTAAGCTGAAGGGTAAAACTAACCTGTGTCTGGCCACCCATATTAAAATGTGTATTTGTCATTGTGTTTCGTGTGATGTGAGACAGAAGGGCATTTTCTCTGTTCTTGCTAACAGGTTATTATGCATCTTATGCCTCCTGATAAGTTACATTTTACTGATGATTTTCTGGGGCCTGTTTCTGAAATGTATTCATATGTGTGCTTCGTGTTTCTATCTATATTAGAGAAACAGTAGGAAACACAGCAGGTAAAAGCCCATCAAGTGTCACAGGCTGGTTTATCCAGTTTCTCATTTTTAGTTCTAAGACTTGTGTAAACCTGGAAAATAGGTTTGCCTCTTTACTCTTTTTTTTGTAATTCAAAGGCAATGGATAAATATTTGCCACTTCAATCAGAGATTTAATTGTGCCTCTTTATGAGGTGACTTTATATACTTTTTAGACCTCATTTTATGTATATATCAGCTTCTATGAAACATGTTGCACTATACTTAGGTGATGAAACTCATTTATTTTTACTCTTGATATCCAGTTTCTTATTAGAGAGGTTCTTTACAGTTCACAGGCCTCTCTTTCACCCTAATTACACAATTGCATAGAACAAAAGGATAGGTTTTCCCCGTGAAGGGCCTTCAGCTGCTTTCTGCCATGTGTCACTAACATATGAGTTAGTTTTGGAGCTGTCTGCAGTTTTGTCTGCACAGTATTTTGCAGGCAGAGGCTGTGTTTGTTAGTTCTGCCTTGGCACCATACCAGTGAAGTCATACAGCTAGCTCTCGGACTGAGCTGGATTGCAGCCTACTAGCTTGGAGTGTGGGAAGAGCTTGCCTTTGTCTGCTTGCAATATTCTACATCAACATAATGTAAGAACTGGGAAGAGAAGTCCCTCTCCCTTGTCCCAGAATGTAAAGCTTTTTTAGTATGCTGGCCATCTGGGCACCTCTTCCAAAAGAATAGCTTAGTCCTATGACATGAAATTCTCACTCGCCAGATGCAATGTGGGGGAAGAGAGGAGGGTGGCTTCCTCTCTGCCCTTTAAAGATTCACATTACCATAATGAATTTTGCTGTCTGCAGTCCCCAGTGTGAACAGTGATGCATAATTCCAGTTGCAGACTGGATGCACTAACATAAAATTTAAACAATTTCTTACAGTTTTATGCTTGAAAATATAAAGCGTTTTATAGGCCTGGTTTATATATATATATGATTTTTATATATATGGTTTATTTTATAATGTGTGTTTATTTTATGTGTGTGGCATTTTATGTAGTTTGTGTTATAGTCTTAATTTTGATGCTTAATTTAGTAGTATAAATCTGACTGGGTTTAAATTCTGTATGTCATTTCTTTTAAACAGAATCCCTTTATAACTTACGAGAGGAGAACAGACAGTTGAGAAAAGCTCACCAAGACATTCACACCCAGCTACAAGATGTCAAGGTAGGCTTTGCTTTGAGGAGAACTTTAAAGACCATTATGAAACTGAGAAATTTTCTGAAGTTCTAACAAGCCAGAAATGGGCCGTGCTGAATTCTTGTAATTTCTGTTACTTGGCAAAAAGGAGAGAAATATGGCTGAACTGGATTTCTTGTCTTTTGCCACTTGCACTTAAGGTACATGCTCATTTAAAGACCGCAAAACTGGGGGTGTGTGTGTGTGAAGGGAGAAGTAAGTATTCAGTATAGAAATTCGAAATTTGTTTTTGCAAGTTAAAAATTGTGTTCTGACAAACTACGTTTGCTGAAATTTATGTTTTCCAGTTTGGTTTTTTTCTTAAACTGTTCATCAACAGCTACTCCAACTTTTAACTTTATTTCAGTTATGCAAATCCTGGCCTCCAAGTTTTCTTTCCTGGTGTGCTTGCTTTCTCTGTTTAATTATGTATTCCATGTTAAATAAATGCTGTCATTCCAACTCAGGATTTTCTTTTCTAAATAAATTGAATTACCTTCCTAGTTCAAAATCCCCCAGACTACCTAATTTACGTTTAGAATGAACTTTATGTGAAACATGTAATGTTCTTCTTTTTGTGTAGCAACAGCATAAGAACTTACTCTCCCAACACAACCAACTTGTAGTGACATTGGAAGACCACAAGAGTGCACTAGCTGCTGCACAGGTCAGAAAGGAAAGCAGCTTCTACTAGCTCTAACCTTCCTAAAACTTCTTTCTTCTAGTTCAGCTGACTGTAATGTTATGCATGTAGCCTTTCGCATGGGGAATCTGCGGCCAGCACCATGCTGCACACTGTAGGGAAATGCATGACTTAAAGGGTTGCTCTTAAGAATAAGCTGCAACAAATCATAGGGCTGTCAGAAAATAAAAACCTGTGTTATAGGCCCAGAGTGCATGCATTACTGATTAAAAAAAAAAAAAAATATCTGTGCTTCACTGAGAGCTGTCAGATACCTTCCTTCCTCTGTCTTCTCTGATAGAACTTCTGTTAGTTTAACATCCCACACACTGACATTCACATGTATCCCTTATAAAGACCTGGATGCTGGTATACTATAAAGTCTCTTTTTGTGTAGACTGGAAGGTTTATAACGCTATGTATAAACCATGTATATATATATACATCAGTGCAGCAGAAGTAGATATGGAGGAATGTAAACTCCAGGTGGAACCCAAAACAGTTTAAAACAAGGGGCAATATTACCTTTCTTAAATGTCATTTTCAAGTGAACTATCCATGAAGCACAAGCTTTAGTAGGCTACTGCAAATTTAGTCAGCTGTGCTACTACAAGCTGTGTAGGCCACAGGGAATCTGAAAGTAGGAATAATGCTGGAGCAGAGGAAGACTTTTGGTGAAAGACTGGAGGGAAAGGCAGTGAGGCAGTGTGATGTTATTTTTATTCCTGACTAATTTTCCTCATTTAAGTATTTTCATGGTCCACAAAATCATTCACAGCATTAAAACATTGGCTCTTCCCCCCACCCCGTTTTCTTTGTTGAGCATGTCAATATGTGTAGATATAAAAAAAACAGGGAAAGACCACGAAAGTCCCTCATAGAGTAAGTATATGAAGAATCCTAATTTCCACTACTAAAATATGCTGGAAGCTAATTTTAAACTCTTTTCCCACTGGCCACGTTAGATACTTGGTATGTATCTGCTAACATCTGAAATTCCACAAGGGCAGATGCAGGGTCTGATTTAAGGTTCACCGAATCCAGAGGGAAGCTCCATATACTTCTGGCTTTGTTTCAGTTCTTTAATTAGAAAACCCGTGTCACACAAAGCCTATCTGCCATCAGAATGTGGCATTTAGAGCATGGAGAACCTTTTCTTAAGAAAAGATTGCACATTTTTTCAGAACAGAAGATATTTAGCACAGTTGCATGGTTTCTCCTGTAAACCATCTATAAAAAGTTCAGAAAGGATTATTGCTTAGAAACACAGCTCAGTAAATGACCCCTCTATTTCTAAGTGTTTTCTAGACATTAAATATCAGTAGTCAATACCGCACTAATGAATTTGTGACCTGAATCTTTAAAGTGTTATAATCTTTGTACTTTTCCATTGCTCAGAGAGCAGACAGATTCATTATATATTTTTATAAACCCTGCCTTTCTGCCAGTATTAATGCCTTTTAAGCTATGGCCTTGAATTGCAATGTTCAGCTTAGTGACTCGTGCAGCAGAACGGAATACTTGAATTCTGATCTGAACATGCACTGTTTAAATATCCCAGCCCATTATCCTCTCTGCATAGTCAGTGAGTGGGGGGAAACAAATAATCAGAGTAAGTATGTCTTATTTTAGTAAGTTAGTCTTAATGTTAAGTAAATATTATTTTTTTCCTCTAAAATTTCTTATTGGACTCTCCAGCAGTTAATCAGGAAGCAGAAGTATCCCTCTGGAATGACAAGAGTAATTACTTTGCATTCTGCTTTGCTTTTAGGCCCGTCTGTTTTAATGGATGCCATAGTCTTTTGAAGATGCTTTGAGGTGCGTCTAGCTTTGGAGCTGTTACGCATTGCATCATGTCAATCTGTAGCACTGTGGATATTGTTTTGTATGAGTATTATGCATTGTACATCAATGCATCATGCCTGTCTGCTGTACTATTGATTGCTATGATATCACATAACACACAAAATGACATACACAGTCACTGAGTGGAACCTGTAGCCAGGTTTTAACCTGAATTTTTAACAGGATTATGAAATGCACCTCTGCCTTCAGAATGGGTGGTAAATATAGCCACTACCTCCATGGAAACAACAAAGAAACCCACCTTTTGTATATGCAGCTGGTCATCTCAAAAATCTTACTTTACAAGATCATGTTTCTTGTACCTCTGCTGTATAGACAGGGACTGGTGCACCAGCCAGCCTGGATTCTTATACTGGACCTTAAAGCATTTTAAGAATACCCTCATCTCGTACGAAGTTAAACAGCAAATCAAATTACAACATTTTACTGTTGCATTTCAGGAAGACGTTAGAAATTTACTTTTTTTTTTTTTTTCTCTTCTTTTTCCTTTTTTTCTGCTATTTTTCCTTTTCACCGCCAGTGTACTATGACTTTCTTTGCCTCAATTCTGTATGTTGGCTGTTGTCTTGTGTAACACCTGTCTAAATGTGAAGGATTTGGCATTTTCATTACATGTATATATACTTACTTTAAGACTGCTTGTTTCTGAAAGAACTGCACTTCTTTCTGCCTCAAAGAAGCTGTGTTCTCAGTTGCCTTCACTTTAGTCTGCCAGGAAAAGTGCATCATCTCTTTTAGATAATTCTGCTGCTTGGCATGAATAAAACAAGTTGTTGTCTTTGTCCCACAGAGATTTTTCTAATACACTTTGTGTGCATGTGCACTTTGGCTGAAAAGATTGTGATCAGTGTTACCTAGCGTGTGGAAATGACCAATTTTAAAAGCTCCCATCTCTTCTCCCTAGTATTTGCTCTCATGTGAATATCGAGTCTTTCTGCCACATGTCTTGCCAGCGAGTTTATTCCAAGGTGACTATATTTTATTAAGAAACTAATTTTGACACCCTCTAATGTGCTGACTTTAGTCACAGGTGGAGGAATACAAACAGTTGAAGGACACACTCAACAAAATACCAAGTTTTCGACAGCCTGAGAAGTTAGAACAACCAAATGATCAACCAGAGGTGCGAGCGCCATCTCCCAGCAGTGACCTCCCAGGGCACCGTGAAGCTGCGACTGAAGAGCAGGAGGTATAAAGTACTGACTGGCTACTGACCCTATAGGAAGTGATTCTTATTCAGCAAAATACTAGCTATGTGCTTAATGACTATTAGAAACTTATATTTAATTGTACAAATTAGTCAGTTCTTGAGTAAAGTAGTAAGGAACAGTTTAATGAGTGAGAGAAAAATATTTTTATGATGTTTTCTCACATGGCTGTAAATGCACTTAAAACTGGCTTATGTAGCTGTTTTAAGTTGCTAAAATCTTAATTTTTTGAAAAAGCAGTCTGTAAGACTTCAGCTATCTCATGTTACAGAAGAGCTTTAGCAGGTTCTGAAGAAATTGTCTTTGTGAGTTTTGTGAAGTTTCAGTGGCACACTTAAAGTCATTATGTTTAAAATGGGCACATTGTCCACTGTTCAAAAAGATAAACAGCAAAGTTGTGGGTAAAGTCTGAAAGTTACCAAATCAGTTGTGGTTTTGTTTTACAAGACTTCTTGGCCAGCAGAACCTACGGGAAACGAAAATACAAAGCTTCCCTTGTAGACACAGAATTGTAAGAGGTTTTGTTCCACTTCAGATAAAAGGAGGCTTGACCTACTTTATGACACAGTTATGCAACACCTTGTGTAGCTGTGCAGAGCTGAGAATAGCATGTGGCAGGATGGGTAGCTTGTTCCAAATCAGGCATTTGGCTACCCTGAAGACAGGTTTGTGCTACTGCAGTCTGGAATAAAGGCATTCCTCTCTGGTCCTTGGCTCTCATGAAAATATGAAATCCATATTCTATGCACACATAATTGTGTGTATGTTTTACAGAATGAGAAGCCACAAGAGAGAGAAGAAATAAATACCCAGGAAAAAGATGACAGAGTTGAGCCTTTTCATCTGCAAAGAAGGCCTAATGAGGGCCAGCATGCCAAAGAACTAAATACTCAGGAGCAACAAGAAGCTGGAGAGGGTGATGAGCGACATGTTGATCAAGTTGAAGAGGAACGTAAAAAAGAACTTGAAGAAGAAGAAATGGAGCAGGCAGGTCAGCCGGAGCACTTAGAGGAGGAACAGGATCAGGTTCCAGAAGAGCATGAATGGAAAAAACAGGAACAGAAAGAAGAGGAAACTAACATGTTGGGTGATCATATTCATTCAGAGGTACAGAGCTCTTGGATTAGACTTGCTGTTTAAATGGAGGCATCTCTTATGATTGCTGGCCCTGTATTGCAGTTGCCTGTTTCTAGGTAAAATCAGTGTCATATTTACAGAAAGTTTGGGATTCAGAGCACATCTTGGTTTTTAGATAAAATTGTCATATTTGTAGAAAATTTGGGATTCAAAGCACTTGTATGCATAGGATTCAGGCTCAACTTCAGCACACATATACTGCAGTGCTGTCCAAATGCAGCTTAGTTAACATTAATTCTGCTGATAAAAAGTAACAGATGGGAAAAAAAGGAGCAGTCAGGTTGAATTCCATCTCCTCCTTTAAATTTGAGGCCTGTGGTAGCTGATGGGGAAGAAGATAGCTAATGAGGAGGCTTAACTTCATGACTTTGATAGAGAGCTGTCCTGCGTTACTAATTTGATGCATCTTGGCAAATTGCAACTTGTTTCCTTGTCAGATATGCCTACCTTCTGTAAATACCTTTCCATCTAAATGTTTGTTGTTGTTTGACAGGGAATTTTAACTTCAAGATGAACATGACTAAAATAGCCCAGGGAAATCAGCGCACAGCAGTGGCAAGTCTTGCTTTTTGCAGCTCTAAATAAAGCCAGCAAATCCTGGGTTTACATCGCAGATGCATCTCCAGTGGAAAATACATTTTACTGATCTCACCGTAGGCTTTGTTAATACTCACCTAGCAGAATAACTGTGTGACTCCAGTGTGATGAGAAGCTATTGTTGAATAGCACAGCTACACGTTGGGCAGAGAAGAGATTCAGAGCAGCCCTGTGGAGAAGGAGTTGGGGGTGCTGGTCAATGAGAAAATGAGCATGAGGAGGCAGTGTGCGCTTGCAGCCCAGAAAGCCAACCGTATCCTGGGCTGCATCAAAAGGAGCATGACCAGCAGGTCAAAGGAGGTGATCCTGCCCCTCTACTCTACTCTTGTGAGACTTCACCTGGAGTATTGTGTGCAGTTCTGGTGTCCTCAACATAAAAAGGACATGGAACTGTTGGAACAAGTCCAGAGAAGGGCCACAAGGATGATCAGGGGACTGGAGCACCTCCCGTATGAAGACAGGCTGAGGAAGTTGGGGCTGTTCAGCCTGGAGAAGAGAAGGCCGTGTGGAGACCTCACAGCAGCCTTCCAGTATCTGAAGGGGGCCTATAGGGATGCTGGGGAGGGACTCTTCATTAGGGACTGTAGTGACAGGACAAGGGGTAACAGGTTAAAACTTAAACAGGGGATGTTTAGATTGGATATAAGGAGGAAATTCTTTCCTGTTAGGGTGGTGAGGCACTGGAATAGGTTGCCCAGGGATGTTGTGAATGCTCCATCCCTGGCAGTGTTCAAGGCCAGGTTGGACGAAGCCTTGGGTGATATGGTTTAGTGTGAGGTGTCCCTGCCCATGGCAGGGGGGTTGATCTTAAGGTCCTTTCCAACCCTAACTATTCTATGATTCTAAGAGACGCAGTGGATTAGAACACTCACAACAAGTTAAGCTGTGAAACTGGAGTTAAAATTACTGCTGACTATAAAAAATGGCTCAGAGAAACCCTATTTGCTGTCTTAATTCCCAGCCATCAAAATTTACTGGTAATATGTTGGGTTAGTTATTATTTTGATGTGTAAGAAAAGCCTGGCTGCCCCCTTCCACCATCTACTCTTCCTTCCCCATGTCCTCCACAAATACCCCAGCACTTTCAGTTTATGTTCAAAAAACTAATTAAGCAGTGACAATAAAACTTAAAATAACTTTGATGTAATTTTGCCTATTGCAAATTGCGTCTTCGTATTTTTTTCCCTCTTGACAGGCTTCTGCATGCTTGCTTCTGATCAGTGAAATTATGATTAATCTATGACTAACATGTGTCTTTGACAGGTAACATCAGTGAAAGCTGTAACAAATAGACATAAACCAGCTTATGAACAGCAACTACAGCAGCAACATCTTGCAGCCAAGAGGGCTGAGGAGGCCAGTGAGCTACGAGAATATCAGGAATCACTACACCAGCAAAGACTGCGAGGACAGCTGTTACAGCATCAACAGCTTCAAGAGAGAGAGCTCCAACTGCAAAAACAGGCAGAACAAGGAGAGAAACTCTATAAAAGCCGTCTAAGGTTAAATTCTTTTACATAAGTTTGTCATGGCCTGTGCTCTAGGTTTTATGGCATCCGCCATACCACCTTTTGAAAAGAGTGTGGTTTAATGCTATAAACCTAGACTACCCAGAAATTAAGTTCAGTGAGCCTCATCTCCTTTCCAAGGATAAACCTGATAGCTATTCTAAGGTTTTTCCTTCCTGTTTTATTCCTTCCACTGTGGAAGCCTGTGAAGTCTGGAGTGCATATTGCCCTGCACATCCTTGGGAGAGGTTAGGAGCTTCTGGCTTACAATGCCCCTTGTCTTAAAGCTTGCTTTAAATAAGTAATTATTTTCCACTGAGCAGCAGTTATGATCTGGTAGTACTGAGGAGCTCCAATATCAGATATTCGTTTACCTAAGCTAAAGTTCCTCTTAAGCGTGAGACACTGTTTTTAAGTAATTCCACTAGGACTTTCTGGACAAGAGTGACTAATATTATTTGCATTGTAAAGACAGAAGCATGATTTCAGGAGAAACCAACATCCTGTTAGTGTCAAAGTTACTGTGATTGCAGTTATATTCATTGTATTGTATCTTCTGCATGCCTTTCACCCTCTCTGTCATGCTTCCTTATGCTTCTGCTTATTTTAAAATTGTTAGTGACACTTTTTTGTCTTTCTGAATCTTAAGCCCATTTTCTTTGCTGAAACACTGAAACATTAACTTGACCTGTGTTCTAAAAGGATTTTGGTATGAGAAACCCTTTTTTAAATTGATAGTCAAAATATTCAGTCCTGCAAGAACAATCACACAAGTAAATCCCTTTCAAGATGAAAGCTAAAACTGCTTACTCATCAAAGTAACCAATTGTGTAGTCTGTCTTTAAGACCCTTTATCTGAGAGGGGTCCAGTTCATAGTATTGATACTTTAATTACGGAATATACTACCTTAGGAGTTTTACAAATACAAAGCAGATCCCATCAGTCTATCGAATTGCAGAATAGTTTGGGTTGGAAGGGACCTTTAAAGCTCATCTACTCCAATCCCCTGCAGTGAGCTTGGGCATCTTCAACTAGATCGGGTTGCTCACAGCCCTGCCCAGCGTGGCCTTGAATGTTTCCAGGGATGGGGCATCTACCTCCTCTCTGGGCCACCTGTGCCAGTGTTTTCACCACCCTCATCATAAAAAAATTTTCTTCCTTATATCTGGTCTGAATATCCCCTCTTAGTGTAAAACCATACCCCTTGTCATAGCATAACAGGCCGTGATAAAAAGTTGTGCCCATCTTTCTTGTAAGTCCCCTTTAAGTGCTGAAAGGCCACAATAAGGTCTTCATGGTACTCATTCTGGCAGGAGTTGGGAAAGACAGAGATTCAGTAGGACGGTGTGTTTATTAAAGCAGAAACACACATTTTGAAACTGAAATGATGTATTGGCATTGAATTTTCTCAGCCAACAGGCTCATTATGATAATGTGGACCACGATATTGTACAGGGGGAAGAAGAGCAAGGTATTCAGGAAGAGGAAGGAGGTAAGATAAAACTTAGTCCCTAGCATATTCAGAGGTTCCCTGTGTACTGTCTTTCATGCAAGATTGTAATACTCATTTCATGTCCAGTTTGGATTCAAGTGAAATACAAACATGCAATTTAAAACCAGTAGCTCATATAACACTGGGTGAGCTGATTGAGTGAAGTACAGGAATTACTAAAGATCATATCCATATTCCTGAAAGCAAAAGTGTCCTTTTGATTGAGCTACTAGGATAGGCTCTGCCTATGATTTTGTTTGATCCTTCAAATTATATACTCTTTTAGTGCCAAGTTTCCTACTAGCAGTAAACCAGTTCTGTTAGAATTACATGTTTAGGTAAACTTTTTAGGTAAAAGCTACCTACTCTTAAAAGCACATGTGGAAGTTTGTATATAGGAGGCTTTTAGAAAGGCTAACCAGAAACTGCTGTAATACAATAATAACATAAAAAATTTGTCAGCTTATGAACGTGACAACCAGCACCAGGATGAAGGTGAAGATGATGATCAAAATAATGCAAATGAACAGCAAGAACCAGAGCATCAAGTAGAAAATCAGCAGGCTGATCAATCTGTGAGTATGAATTAAGATGCTATGGATTGCGGTCATTACTGGAGTGAAAAACCAGAAGTCTCATTTAACATAATTGTGCATTACAGAAATAAAATGAAGTGCAGATCTGGTAGGAAGATATCTAAGGTCTATTTAAAGTTGTCCTTATTGATTTGGGCAGAAATAAAAAAAAAAAGAGTGCTTCCTTGTTCGAAGCAAGTTGCTTCTTTTTCTACATGCCTTGATCTGTACTTTACATGGAATAAAGGATTTGGACTTAGCTGGGACTTGAACAGCTAAACTTAAAAAGAATGGTCAGTCAGAATGGTGATGGTATTTTTCATGCTATCATTAGTTGCCAAGGTAAGAACCAACTCAGTAGCCACTGAAACCAGCTGAAGTCAGTACAGAAGTGTGAGATCTTGCAAGAAGATGTACCTCAGCACTGGACACAGCTGTCATACCAACTGTACAGAGATCTGGATACCGAAGATTGCAGTCCTGTATCATCCCATAAATTCCACCTTATTTGGTGGTGTGGAACATGAAGCATATCATCTTTATCACCACCCACCCCCACCCCCCCCCCCCCCCAGCAAATTAAATTGTTTAGTATTTCTAAGGCATCTTTTACTTGTCAGCTCTAAAGATATCAGAACTACTTTTACTGAATGGTAAGCAGAAAAAAAAAAACCACGTTTTCTGAAGGGCAGCATGTGATGAAAAGCGAGTATCGTTTTCTCTTGTTTTATTATAGACATAGACAAGGTCAATATTGCAGGGCAGGCTCGTACTGAAAGATCACATCAGCTCTTTTGAGCCATGTGTATTTCAGCTCTTACCTTCTTTCACCTGCTCTTATCGGGCATTGTCACTTGTCATATAGTCAGTAAACAAAAGTAGTTTAACAGCCTCTGTGAAATAAGTCATCAGATTCAATTAGGTTTTTAGCAGACACATACCCATGCTGCAGTTCTGTCTGTGTTCCGCGCTGAGGTACCTTTCCTTTCAGGAACTGATGCTTCTGTATTGGCTACGGCTTAATCTAGTGAACCCTGATGCCTGTAAGAAGATTCCAGGTGGTTTCAGTGGGCATGGAGTTGGCTCTAATGTAGCTTGTGCTAAGGTAGCTTTTATGTGAAATGGAATTTGACTGTGAGGTGAAAATACATATTTAATATTAATTTCTGAAAATTACAGAAGGCAGCCATGGAAGATGTGAATCCTGCTGATGACCCCAACAATCAGGGAGAAGATGAATTTGAAGAAGCTGAGCAAGAGAGAGAAGAAAATGTACCAAATGAAAATGAAGAGCACAAGCAAACCAGTCAGAAACAAGAACATCCAGGAATGGAAGAGCACTTGGTGGTCAGTAAAGGGAAAGGACGCCTGTATTTACCTTCAGACAAGCCCCTGCGAGAGCACTCATTCATACAATTGTCATGTTTTTGCACAAATCCTTTGTACGCTACTTCCATGCCATCACACTCAGTCGACTGTGAGCAGTGATGCCACTTTTCTTTTCTACCGCCATTCCAGTGAACACTGCACGTTTCAACTGCTTTTATACTGTAAACTCCTCTAGGCAGAGATAATCTATATGGCATTAGTCTTTAGTCGTGTGAATATTTCGTTGTCTTCCTGCTTAATATGGAAAGTCTTGCTTTATTCTGTGAAGTGATTTCTATTATAATCATTCTTCTTTCTACTTTTTAATTTAGGGCAGTTCTAAATCATGTAGCTGGGCTATCATTAATGCTAATGAATGCGCTATAACTTCTTACACTATTGTTGTTACTTTAGCTTTTCACAAAGTTTCATTTCCAGAAGAAGAAGCTTTAACCTTCAGTCTTCTAAAAGTTAATAGGCATGCACAGAGAACTCAATTTTTATATGATCTTTCTGCAGATGGCAGGAAATCCTGACCAGCAGGAAGATAATGTGGATGAGCAATACCAGGAGGAGGGAGAAGAGGAGGTAAGAAAACAGACATAAAGTATATGTGGATTCAGGTCAGAGCACATCTCCATTAACATTCAACACTGGTATCTTTTATAACTGCAAGATGAATCCAAATTGCTTTGTCTGACTAAGAACCTGGGCAGTCTTTGCCATTACTTTGCTGACCACTTCTGGACACATTTAGTGTTACTCATGCTTATATGCTACAATCCATTAGTCTTCCATGCAACACGGTATTAATTGTGCAATAATTAAGATGAAGCCATTCATAGCACAAGGTGAAATTGCTGAAAACTTCAAGCCCTCTCTGAAGGTCACTGAAACCTCATTAAATTTGCATCTCCAGTCACACACTGTTGTTCTGGGCAAACTGCTTCCTTGGCCAGTTACTCTTTAGCTCTGGCTTTGATTTATCTGTGCTCCTCCCAAGCAATCCAAGTTATGTAAGCCCTCACCGGTCAATGGGGTGGGTAGGGAGGCTGTCAGCACTGTTGCTTGAACTGGAGGAGAAAAGGAAAGGACTTTTTCCTCGGTATGTTGAATGGCATGCTTGTTATGCATGCATTAGCATAAGCCGCCCTTCAGTCCTTCAGTACATACTTAATTGCTGTTTTCTTTTAAAGAAAATTAAAAATACACATTATTCCTGTGCTTCATAGATTCAGGAAGATTTGACTGAAGAGAAGAAAAGACAACTGGAACGCAATGCCGAAGAGCCGTATGGCGAAAACGACGAAAATGTAAGTACTCTGTAAACCCCCAAACTCTGTGACATGACTAAACACTTATTATAACTGTGATCATCTCACAGTGACATTATATAGTAATCATTGTAGCTTGCTTTAGATCATAGACTTTAATGTTTCGTGCTGTCCCAACTTCTTTTTGCTCATCCTTCCACCCACACATTGTTCTTGCTGCCTGGAAGCCTTTGAAAATCTTTTCCTCTTTCTGCCCATCAGCTCTGACAGCTCCACTGATAGTCATTTCTCCCTTTCCTTAACTTCATCTCATTGCCTAAAATACATTTTAAGGAGCTATAAGGCAGTAGTACTGAATCTGGTTTGGGGTTGTTTGTTTGTGTGTTTGTTCCTGCCCCCCCCCAATCAGGCGGATGAAAAGAATAACAGAGGGGCAGATCAAGAGCAAGAAATCCAAGAAAACAACCGGAAAGAAGTTCATGAAGAAAATTATGAGGAGGAAGAGGAGGAGGAGGAAGGCAGAGCTGTTGCAGCAAAAACTCATAGACGAGGGGAGATGTAGTCTCCCTTTTTTCAGCATTCAAAGCCCTGGTTTTGTTGTTTTGGTTTTTAAAAGCCGACAACTTTTTTAGGATATTTAATTTCCAAAAAAAGTTTGTTTTACACTTCTTACTTTTCTATTAGATGCTCTCATATGTTTATATGAATATGGTATTTTGATACTCTAGATTAGGATTTCTTTTCTATTAAAGCTGTACATAAACAGCCATCATATAGGTTAAATTCTTGTAATTCTGGGCATGTTTTATGAAGGCCATTTTGGAATACACTTTCACCTTGTCCAAGCCTGAGACATTTGGTCTCATTTCAGACACATTCAACACCTGAGGGAATATCTCTAGTGCCTACACCCAGTTGCCATTAGTCATTTCAGCTCTCCTTGTCTTCCATGACACAACTTCTGTGACTTAACGGCTGGGACACCTCGCAGCCAAGGCACAATCTGTGGTGCTTGTACAGGCTCTGGGGTATTTCCATTCATTAGAATCTCATGAGATTCTTCAAATCTTTGAAGTTAAGCACATGCCTAGCTCATTTAGAACCAGGCCTTTTACAGGTGCAGAACACTTACAAAATATGCAAGTTCTACAAACCTTCAAAATACAGCCAGGTTAACAGCTGTTAATTTTGGCAGCTGTTTATATACAGATAAATTATGCATTTATTTTAATGAGCATACCTAGGTACTGCAATTACATGCATTACATAGCAGATAATCCAAGTGGTGGTATGCTGAGATGTGAACTAGAAACCAATTTAGACTCGAAGAGCCATTATGCCAAATCAAAACACTACAGCTGTCACATGAATGAAGATTTACAGAAGGAACAATTTTGTTCTCCTAGTATTAAAATATTTGACCAGAGAAATATAATTGCATCACCTTGGTGACATGCCTGCTGGAGACTGGAGAGAAGGTTAAGGGGTGGTGACCAAATTGCTGTGATTGGTGCAAGATGTTGAACTAAGGCTTTTAGCTCCTTTTACTTATTTATTTTTAAGTCTATGCTGGAGGGATTCCTGCATCCCTGAGTGTGAAAATAGCTGAGACAAATACCATGGAATCTTTTTGAACAGTGAATATCGCTAGTACCACATGCCAAAATGTGGGGGTAGGGGGAATGACACAAAACCTGTGCCTTGGTAGGCTACTATGAATATAATCACAGTGCACGAGTAGATACAATGTTTGTATTGGTACAAACCCTTGTTATTTAATGTATGTTAAAAGGAGATTGGGAATCTGTATCTCCCAGGCCCTGCCCCATTGCTGGAAATGAGGCACACGGTAGCTTCCCATCAAAGTGTGTGATAATATATAAAAGAAGAGGGTTTAGGATTTTCCCTTGTTAAATAATGATGCATAGCAGTGGTTTTAGTTTAACTTCTAATATGAATGTAATTTAATTCATTTTTCTACTAACTGAATTATATTATGTTTTATAATTGGTTTCTGTTCTTTGCAGTTTTCCTAAGTGTCCCAGACACAGTACTTACATTTCATGGGAAGATTTTTGTCAGCAAGTATTTTGGGGTTTTAAGCTACCATAAATCAAATTTATGTATAAAAAAAAAGTTTACATGATACTGTAAAATGTATAATATGTACATAATCTTCAGAATACAATTATTTTGGTAATTTGGCCTGTATTTTTAATGTCATGGTTGTGGTATTTAATTATTTGAAGCATAATAAAACTTAAATGCATTAGAATGTAGTTACTGATCTTTCACACGTGTGATGGTTTGGTTTGGTTTAGTTTGTTAACAAAGCCCAGCAGAGAAACAGGAGGCAGCTGCAACAGCATTTTCGGCAAGGAGAAGCAGGGTTGGAACCAACAGTAATGGCAGCTTTTGCCTTCTGTAGATGTACTCTTTCAGTATTCGTTGCAATTGAAATCCTGCTTCAGCTAGAGCAGTAAAGCTTCTTGGCCTTTTGCATCAAGCAGATATGTGAGAAAGGTGGAGGGATGAAGGAAGGAGAGCCCAAGCCATTTCCACACACGTTTTTTCCCCCCTAACAGGACCAGTTATGCTCCCTTCTGCAGCCTCCATGGTGTGGGAAGCCGTGCATGCTGTCTGGGTAGAGCTCAGTGGTGGCAGGAAGACAGCTTTTCTGCCCTGCCAGAGGGAAGAGACAGCCACTGAAGGTGTGGGCACATGCCACAGTACTGCCTTGTTGCAGTACCTTGCACTTGAAACGAGCTCTGCAAGCACTTACATTAGTGGGTACAGTATTGCCTGAGCAGATGTGGGAAACACACTGCCTTGTACCACATTTACCGTGTGGAAAAAGCCACTTCCAAAGTCACCTACAGGGACGAAGTTATCTACCAGCACAGGTTCTTCACACCAAAATAAGCTCCTCCTTTTCTGCAATTGGCTACTGGTGCCATTGAGGTGTTCACATGTCCTGCCCAATATCTCTGGGCACACAGCATGTTTATTCATCAGCTTTGATGATGTCCCTTTATTGTCAGGCTGCAGGGCTTTGCTTGGGTAACTTGCAGCTCCAGCAAGAGTCCAGAGAGACAAATTACTGCTGAAATAGGAAGATGCAGAATAAGGCTTCTATTGTGTATTGTATGAGCCAGTATTCACAGCAGATGCTGTATTTACTACAGCAAGCATAACACGTTCACGTCTAATGTGATTAGGTCAAGAAAGTCCTAACAAAAGCCTGTTCTGCCCTTAGCCAAGGGCTTGTTCACTTCAAAAACAAGTTAGTTGACTAAAGATCAGCTTTCCGAGTAAGGCTTCAGGTGTGTTTGACAGCAACCATGTATAATCTTAGTAACGTGCCCCAACAGCCACTCGAGCGACAGCTAAATCTGCTAAAATCTACTAAATGCCAGTGGGCTAAGTTAAGACTGGCTCTAACCCAAGCTGAAAAGGGAGTTAGATAGCTCTGCTTTACAGTGAACATTAGGAAAATTGCTTCAATTAGGAATGAACACAGAGATACACTTGTCATTGAAGTACAAACTAGTTTGTCCTGAGTTCAGCAGTAGCAGTCATTTTTCTCCTTTGTGTTAGCTGGTGCAGTGCTGTGTTTTGACTTCCAGCCTGGGAACAGTGCTGGTGATACCAATGTTTTCGGTTGTCACTAAATGATGTTTACCCTGACCAAGGACTTTGTGAGGCTCATGCTCTGCCAGGGAGGAGGGGAAGCCAGGAGGAAGCAGAGATGGGGCGCCTGATACAGGCTAGCCAAGGAGGTATTCCATACCACAGCACGTCATGGCCGGGGTGGGGGTAACTGGGAGTTACCCGGAAGGACACGGGCTTTTGGGTGGGACTCGTTTCTTGGCTGGTGGTATTGTATTCTCTTCCTTTGTTATTTTCTCTTATCGTTGGTGGTGGTGGTAGCGGTGGTGATGTGTGTTGTACATTGGTTGCTGGACTGTTCTTGTCTCAACCCGTGGGAATTGCACTCATTCGATCCTCCTCCCCATCCCTCATGGGAGCGGGGAAGGAGAGAGCCCCCCGGGGTGGGGGGGGGGGGCTTGATTGCTCTCAGCCCAGCACCACTCACTGGGAGTGAGTGAACAAGTTTTCTGGCTAGGGTTTAAACCACAACATAGTTTCTGACAAATTTTATCCACTTTTGCCACAGGTTTTCATGACAAAGGAGCCGCAATGCAGTCATTGATAAAAACGACCTTCACTCAGCTTCTCAAGGTTGAGCACATAAAATGTGTTTACTCTGTCTGTGCACAGAACTTCTTAGTCTGCTACATGCAGGGAAAATAATTTATATTGTTACAGCTAAAATACTAGCAGGGTAAAAGGAATGAGAAACCCAAAGCTGCATATCCAGAGCAAGAAAAAAAAGTTATCTTCAGTACACTTGACACATCATCAGCCTTCAAACAGGTTTCCTTTCTCTTCCATAGCTCTTGGAACCGTTCTTTGCTGGTTCAAATGCAAAATTATACATCATTTCATAGACTCATGGAATGGTTTATGTTGGAAGAGACCATAAAGATCATCTATTTCCAACCCTCCTGCCATGGGCAGGGACACCTTCCACTAGACCAAGTTGCTCAAAGCCCCATCCAACCTGGCCTTGAACACTGCCAGGGATGGGGCAGCCACAGCCATGTCTGTTCCAGTGCCTCACCACTCTTGCAGGGAAGAACTTCTTCCTTATCTCTAATCTAAATCTACCCTCTGTCAGCTTAAAACTATTCCCCCTTTTCCTATCACTACATGCCCTTGTATTTTTGTATCACCATCACTTCTAAGGGGTCACAATGGCCAATTTGGGAGAGACACAAGCCAAAGAGAGATAACAGCCAAGGGCTATTGTGAACCATGTTCACCACCACCTCCCATCCATAATCCTGGTCAAGGTCTGACTCAACCCACGTTTCTGTAGATGGGATGCACACATGACTAGGAGTCAGTCATCTTACTCCACAAAGAGTGGACAGCCCCCAGGGCCTTTGGAGCCTTCCTGCATGCCAGAATCTCCCCTTGAGTAGGGTTTCATCACTAGTAAGTTCGCACAGTTTCTCCCTTGAAAGAGAGATTCTCCCAAATTTTACATTTGTCCAGGAGGTGCAATTAAGGCTGTAACTATGAATTGAAGTAGATAAGAAGGGTGAGCTTTAATGCAAGGTTAAACTTCATGGGGAATTTTATACGCTGCCTTATGTAAAGGGAATAAAAAAGTCCTAGATGACATTTTGGAAAAAGCAGCATCCATAATCAATGAAGGAATGGTATCATTCACTGTTCATCAGAACGAAACAGCCAAAATTGTGTAAACATGAGATTGTGAAATTAGTTCAGAGACTATTTGGGATCCATTATTCCACTGGTATCAGAGAGAACTGCAAGACCTGCAGTTTCTCCCTGACCTATAGAAAAAAACAAGCTCATTTCTTCCTAGCAGGAGCTGCAAAGTACCTTTCTAAAGTAGTAATTTTGGCAAATAACCCAGATCAGCCAACGCAAGATACTCCCGATTATAGAAGCCCTGACCTCTTTGCGTACAGGAGATACTGCATGTTGAAGGCAAACAGCCCTCTCGCATCACAGGGAGCCAATGTTCTGGTCATTTATTGTGACAGGTGAGAAATGCGGTAGCTGCTATTAAGCTGAGATGGTTTACAATACTAAGCAGTGTCCTCACACACAAACAAATTCTACCTGGATTCGGCTTTATTAGTAGTTTCATACTGTACTGCCAAAAATTACAATCAGTATCTGGGAAGACATAGAAGGAATCAGAGTATTCATTTAAAAGTTGGAGCAGAGCACAAATGGGAGGTGGAATACAGCCAGACACCTCGATACACCTCAGAATGACCAATTAAAAGCACTAGTGGTGCCAATGAAAACGGCTGTATTTAAGTCAGGGCCTGTGCCAGGAAAATGGTATTAAAGAAAGATTAAAGGACTTTTCTATTTCACTACAGGAATAACCAACAGGTATTAGAAATGAACACATGCAAATGTCCACCACAGCAGCTACACCCTTGACAGCTTAAGAGTTGACCTCATGGCAAGTACTGGACACCACAGATGTTTTATCAGCCACAAAGGACAAGTTTAATTCAGCACCAGCCATCATGCTGGAGCACTGCTGGGAGCCAGAGGATATGAATGGGACTGTAGGAGGTGGGCAGAAGCAGAATAACTGGAGACATAGCCAGGGTTACTGTGCCAGAAAAGGCATAGGGAGCAAGGACATAAAACCTTTCATTTGCTCTAATGTCTGTGGGACAATTTGTGTCACCTTGAAATTCTACAGGTGTGTAAAAAGAATAGACAGGTATACAGAAATATGTATTACATTCAGAAATAGTTTGTGGTGAACCTGAACCTTGGGCAAAAACCTCCTGTAGATGATCTCAGTCCCGAGTTTCCAGCTACTGCTTTCTCCTACAACTCGAGTTAGACCTTTGTCGATATCTACATCCTCCTGGCTTCTTTCAATGAAAAGCAGTAATGTTACATGGCACAGAAGAGACAACTGCACTCCCTTACACTACATGGGCTTCCAAGTTCTCTAGAAAACACAGAAATGGTTCCACTCCTTGTTTTACTGCTATGCCAGATGACCATGTTACCAGATCAATTTCCTTGTAAAATAGGGGGATGTGGTATAGTAGCGAAAAATGTTGAGGGGTTTCCAATCTCAAGATCAATATTTTGATGGGGTTTAAAATAAATTTGTTGAAAATAATGCTGTAATTGAAGTTTTATAATTCACAGCAATAAATGTGCAAAGCCACAAACCATGTTATTACCAAAGAGACATTGAGATTTATTCTGAAGAAAGGTTATTTAAAATTAGGATATTGGACAACCCGATTCCCTTCTGCAGTTTAAAAGTAATAGGAAAGTTATTTCGAAAGCAGTTTCACATTGCTGGTTTTGTACAAAGGTTCATAAACCCTACCAGGAAACATATTCAGCTCTGCTAGCCCAGAAACGGAAGAACCCGGAGAGATCGTGCAAGTTATTTGATGTTTCTGTTACAAAGCAAGGTGACTCAGTGCAAGTATGAGGAAAGAATGTGTCATAGCTTCTAGCCTTGCTTCGATTTTCCATATTGATTTTGACTGTAATGTAATTAGTAGTTCAGCAGGTTACTCTGCATGGTGGTTCCACACTGTCAGACATTCC